TTGTACTGGGTTTGTCTGGTTTAGGTATCAGGGCCTCACAGAATGAGCTGTGAAATATTCTTTCCTCTTAAACTTACTCTAAAGCTTTGTGTAGAATTGGTAATATAGTATCATTTCTTCTTTAAATATCTGATAGAATTCACCAAAAAAGCCATCTTAGCCTAAGTTTTTTGTTTGTTTGTTTTGTTTTGTTTTCTTCTTTGTGGGAAGGTTTTTAACTACAGATTCAATTTCTTTAATAGATATGGGGCTGCTCAGGTTGTCTGCTTCTTCTTGAGTGAGGTTTGGTAGAGTGTGTCTTTCAAGGAAACTGTCCATTTTATCTAAGTTGTCAAATTTATTGGCATAGAGTGGTCCATAACAATCCCTACCAATGTCTTTAATGTCTATAAGCTCTGTAGTGATGTAACCTCTCTTATTCCTGATACTGGTCATTTGTGTCTTCTCTCTTATTTTCCAAGTGATGAGTTTGGCCAGAGGTTTATCAGTATTATTGATCTTGTCAAAGAACCAGCTTCAGCTTACATTGATTTTCTCTATTTTTTTTTTCTTCCGCACTCTGGTCTGTGTAATTTTCTTTCTCTTGCTTACTTTTAGTTTAATTTGCTCTTCTTTTTCTAACTGACTATGATGGAAGCTGAGGTAATTGATTTTAGACAATTCTTCTTTTCTAATATTGGTATTTAGCAGTATAAATTTCCCTGTAAATAATGCTTTAAAGCAGGGACCAACAAACCACACTTGCAGGCTGGAACACAGCCATGCCCATTCATTTATGTATTGTCTATGGCTGCTTACATGCTGAGTTGAGTTGAGTAATTGAAACAGAGACCATATGGTCCACATGCTTATAATATTAACTATATGGTCTTTTAAGAAAAAGTTTGCTGATTCCTGCTTTAGAAGAATCCCACAAATTTTGATATGTTTTGTTTTCATTATAATTCAATTCAAAATACTTTGCAATTTCAATTTCAGTTTCTTCTTAGACCCTTGGATTATTTAGAAATGTGCTAGCTTCCAGATATTTGGGGATTTTCCAAATATCTTTGTTATTAATTTCTAATTTAATTCAACTGTGGTAATTCAACAGAGAACATATTTGTGTTACTTGAGTTCTTTTTAAATGTATTACGATTTTTTATGGCCCGGAATATGGTCTATTTTGATCTGTGTTTTGTACGCACTTTGTAAGAATACAGACACTGTTGGTGTTGAGTGGAATTTTCTATAAATGTAAATTAAGTTAGTTAATAATACCGATGAAGTTTTATATTTCCTTACTCATTTTCTGTTTTATCAATTATTGCAAGAGGTGTACTGAAACCTCCAACTATAATAGAGAATTTATCTGTTGCTCTTTGCAGCTTTCCAGTTTCATGCATTTTGAAGCTCTGTCACCAGTTGCATAAATGTTTAGAATTGCTGTGTCCTCTTTATGAATTTACCCCTTTATCATTATGAAATGTCTTGTTTTTATCCTGGTAATATTCTTTGTTCTGTAGTCTACTTTGTCAGACATTAATATAGCTACTCCAGCTTTCTTCTGGTGAGTCTTTTGCCATTCCTTTAATTTTAACCCATTTGTGTCTTTATATTCTAAGTGTGTGTAAGTGGCATATAGTTGAATTGTGCTTGCTTGTTCAATCTGACAATTCCTGCTTTTTATTTGGGATATTTAGTCTATTTATACTTCATGTGATTGCTCATATAGTTAGGTTTAAGCCTTACAATTTGCTTTATATTTGTCCCATCTGTTCTTTGCCTCCTTTTCCCTCTTTTTCTGCATTCCACTGCATTAAATGAATATTATTTATGATTCCACTTTATACTCTTTGTTGACTTATTAGCTGTTACTCTGTTTTTCTTTCAGCGGTTGCCTTAGAGTTTGTAGTATACATTTTTCACTTGTCACAGTCTACTTTGATGTATTATACCAATATGGTCTAATTGGTGATGTTATGCCAATATACATATAGTGTAAGAACCTAACATTAATGTACTTTAATTTCTCTGTTTCCAGCCTTTATGCTATTGTCATACATCCTACTTAGACATATCTTACAAATGCCTTAACTCATTGTTTTTGTTTAAATAATTATCTCTTAAAGTGATTCAAATAATAAGAAAAAATGTATATGAATTTACCCATGTAGTTATTATTTCCAGTACTATTCATTCCTTTGTGGAGATCCACGTTTCCATTAGTGACATTTTCCGTCTGCCTTAAGGACTTTCTTTAATGTGCCTTGCCACATGGGTCTGCCACTTATGAATTCCTTCAGCTTTTGTACATGAGAAGAAGTCTATTTTTTGTACATAAGAAAAATGCTTTTTCACTGGATATAGTATTCTAAGTTGACAATTTTTCCTTTCAGTACTTTAAATAGGTTGCTGCACTATCTTCTCACTTGCATTGTTTCTGAAGAGAAATGTTGTCATCCTTATCTTTATTCCTTTGCATGTAACATGTCTCTGTGTGGGGGCTCAGTTTTAAAGATTTTCTCTTTATCATTGCTTTTTGAACACTTTGATTATGATGTGGCTTAGTGTAGTTTTCTTTATGTTTCTTATGCTCTGACTTCATTGAACTTCTTGAATCTGTGGGTTTCTATCATTCATAAAATTTGGAATATTAGACCATTTTTTCTTCAAATGTCTTTTTCTGTTCCTCACTCTCCCTGGGAGACTAGAACTATGTAAATATTAGAGCACTTGAAGTTTTCTCTTAGCTCACTCTTTTTTTTTATCTTTTCATTACTTGTTATCTTTTCACTCTGGTTTATTTTGGATCTCTGTCCTCAAGTTCACTAATCTTTTCTTCTGCAATTCCTAATTTGCCAGTCATCTTAAGAAGAGTATTTTTATCTCAGACATAGTTTTCATCTCTAGAAGTTTGATTCAGGCCTTTTTTATATCTTTCATGTTTTTGCTTAATTTAATGAACATCTGGAACAAAGTTCTAGTAATAATGCCCTTTTCTATGAATTCTAATACTTGTGTCTATTCTAGGTTGGTTCCAAATGATTCATATTCTCCTTGTCATAGGTCATATTTTCTTGCTTCTTTGCATGCCTGGTAATCTTTGATTGGATGCCAGACATTGTGAATTTTACCCTGTGTGTTGTTGGATATTTTTGTATTCCTATATATACTCTTGAGGCTCATTCTTGGATGCAGTTAAACTACTTAGAAACAGTTTAATTATTTCAGGTCTTGATTTTAAGATTTATTAGGTAGAACCAGAGACGTGTTCAATCTGGAGCTAATTACTCACCAATACAAAGCAAGACACTTTGCGTACTCTACCTAATGCCTCATGAATTAAAAGGTTTCTAGTCTTCCTGGCAAGAACAGACACTCTTCCTCATCCTGTGTTTGTCAAGCACTCTTCCCTCTAATCTTTTTGGGTTGTTCTTCCCTTGGCCTTGGGTAGCTTCTCTCTACAGATCTCTGGGGTTCTCCCTCTCTGTGCAGCTCTCTCCTCTGTAGTACTGTCTTTCAAATTCTAAATACCTTGGTCTGTCCAGACTCTCAGCCCCATCCCCCACTCAAAGATTTTGATAGGCTATCTCTCCCTGCACTGCATCCTGGAAACTCTTTCAAGGCAGTGAGCTGGGGCAATTACAGGGCTCACGTCATTTGCATCCCATCTCTCAGAGATCACTGTCCTTTTATTGCCTAGTGTCCAATATCTTGATTACCACTGTTATATTGGTTTGTTTTTGGTTTTTGGTTTATTTTCTTTTTGACTGTCTCAAGCAAGAGGGTAAATCCAGTCCCATCTTGGCCACAGAAGAAGCCATGCTATCTTTTTTTATCCATGTATATCCACATACAAACATTCTGGAAGACTATATGCACCAAAATATTAAGAGGATTTCTCTCTGGGTGGTGGGATTATGACAGTTTTATTTCTGTATGTGTGTTTGTGTGATTTCTATTTTTTACAATAAAGGTATTACTGTAGGATAAAAATAATAAAACAATATTTTTCTTTAAAAATACCTGTCTCTCATGTGTATGAGGCCCATCCTGGATGATAGGTGCCCCAAGATAGCTCACGGGGCTCTACCACCTTCTAATGTGCTCTAAGGTGACAATGATTGTGGACATACTCCTCACTCCTGCAGTAAGACTGCTGAAGTGTTGTCAGCTGGTTTTCCAGGGTAACTAGGGAGTACTGAAGTTTAGTCAAAGTGTCTAAGTTATACCCTGAATCTCTAGATCATGGTGGGCTCACAAAATGGCTATCAACACCTTAGAACCATGAACTCTCAAAGACTTAAATGTTTTTATGGAAAACAGCAGACACACACACAAACACACTGACACATTCATGGACACACACATAAACATATCATCTACAATAAATGACACCAATTTGGGAGCATTGTTACTGTTCAGAAAAGAGCTATTGAGAAAATTCTAATGACCAAAGAATGATAAATGAAAATTAATTATATAATTCTTATTTTAACTCAAGATATGTAAAATACTATATACTCTCTTTAATACTTTGTCTTTATTTTAGTGTACAAAGAAATTATATATTAATATTTATAAGAGCTTTAAAAAAATTCATAAAGACCTTCATTTCCCGATCCTTTTGAAAAAAAACCTTAAGTTCTTCATCAGTGAATTTATCCACCACAGTTGAAAAGTGAGAGGGTATAGATCATTTTATTCTTAATATTAGTTGGAAGAAACCTCAGTTTCCATTAATATGATATACTGTGACTAAATATATATGCTATCCAAACATTTCCTTAAAAATTTATCAGAATGAGAACGAATTCAGTTCAGACCACTTAATCCTACACTGAAGGATCAGTCACCTAACTTCCCACTCTTAAAATAACCAACAGCACTTAATGTGAAGAGGTGACATAGAGGGACTTGATTTCTAATAAAGAAGTCCACGTTGTGTAGGATGCTAAGCGGGCAAATAACTTGAGGTCTATATTTATTGGAAGCAACCCTGTTATACTGGTACATACCATCTTCCTCAACTCCTGGTTGGAAACAATAATGACATTTGGTGGGTCCCCGATGGCAGTGGCAGCTCCTCCAATGTTTGTGAAGATCACTTCTGCAATCAGGACTTGTCTTGGGTCAAGGTTGAGAACCTCACATAATCTGTCATGAATGGAAGAAAATGAAAGTAGTCCCACTATTAACACTGTGAAAGTCCCATGTGCAACCTAAATACTTTTAAAGCACTTGCTTGTAAAAGGGAGGCATACACACACACACACACACACACACACCTGTGACAAGGGCAATGCTGGGGAACAGACTATGGCAACAACACTACAGAGCTACGGGCCATAGGTGACTCTCAGAATTACATTTCTCCAAAAGATATCCCACCAACCATCTGAACCACCAGTGTGAAAATGTACCCCTGCCCCACCCCCCACAGGTCGGGAGGGAGCACAGTCCGCTGTGTGCAGGCCCCCACTGGAAGACAGGCCCTGGCACAGGTGTGTGGGTACTAGCCATCAGACCTCTCCAAGTCAGGGGTGGAGAGGTCTAATCTCCTCTGCCAGAGCAGAAAGCACCGCTGCCCAGTGGCTCACACCAAGCCTGCCAATCTAGGCCCTTACCTACCTTCCCTTTATCAGATGCTGAGGGCCCAAGCTGTCCCCTACCCCTTCCCTTCAACTACTACCCATGGACTTCCTTAGAGAAGGGGCACACACTCTACGGCAGTGGTTCTCCATCTTGGCTGCACACTAGATTTGTCTGAGAACCTTTGAAAGTCTGGCTGCCTGGCCCATGACAGATCAATCCTTGGGAGTGGGCCTGAGCAGCAGCGTTCTACAGCTCTCCAAGTAGGTCCAGTGAGCACACAGTTGAGAATCGTTGCTCTAAGGAAAGTGTAGAAAACACATCATGACATCTTCCACACCTACCAATCTGCATTGCCCACTTCCATACAGAAACAAGGCATTGTATCTCCAGGCTGACAGGAGGCCCTGCTGAACTCAAGGGTCGTTCCTACCACCTCCCAGCTCAGAGTGTAGCCAACAGCTTGTTTGAAGGGGACTGGCCTACTGAGCTGTGTAGAAGATGAGGAGGGAGCTGTGTCTGGGGACCAGGGACAGGAGTGAGTCCAAAAAAGAGGATCAGATCCTAATCAGCAGCAGCAGGTCTCAGCTGAGGAAGCTCCAAGGATCTGCTTCTAGCAAGAAAATAACTAATGTATGCTAATCAACACCACCAGACCATGCACAGAGATGGCATCTGAACTAAATAGGCCTCGCTGTTTAACTCTAAGGACTAATGCTACTCAGTCCAGACAAAGGCAGAAGAATGCAATCAAGCTTACAAAGTCATGAATAATGAGGTAATACAAACAGTGAATCTGGGGCTGGCCCAGTGGCGCAGCAGTTAAGTTCACACGTTCCACTTCTTGGCAGCCTGGGGTTCACTGGTTCGGATCCCTGGTGCGGACATGACACCATTTGGCAAAAAGCCATGCTGTGGTAGGTGTCCCACGTATAAAGTAGAGGAAGATGGGCACAGATGTTAGCTCAGGGCCAGTCTTCCTCAGCAAAAAGAGGAGGATTGGCAGTAGTTAGCTCAGGGCTAATCTTCCTCAAAAAAAAAAAAAAAAACAGTGAATCTGAGCACACTAACACTTGAATCTTGAAAGAGGTAATTTTTAGATTAATAAATGGAATTGCTACTCTCACATAAAATTACAAAGCCAGTTCCCGGAACAGTAAGGACATAAACAAATCCCAGCAAGGCTGAAACAACCCTTGGCTGTCTGGGCTGTACAGGGATACCAGGAACACGGGTGCCCAGCACTCCTCAGCCCTAGAAACATACCCTCACTGGGCTGCCATGAGAGAGCAGGATGATGTCCTGGGATCTGGCACATGTGGGTAGTACTATGGTTTTCAAACCAGTATCAGCAGCAGAGTCCCACTGGTTGGGGGTGGGCAGGGTGTGGCCTGCTTCTTGCCCTCTGAGGTGTCCTGGGGCAGGGTTTGGTGCCCTCCATTAGTAGTGCATGGTACTGTTTACAGCACCCTTCAAATGTGTTCACTCCATCCTTCATTTACCCTCAGAAGAACTCTGGTACTGGGAGGTGCTATGCCCCTCCTTCACTGGAAGGCTGAGTCCAGCATCCCTCACCCCAAATCCCTGCCTGCACATGGGGCATGACAATGCAGCCAAGTTTGCAGGAGCCTGGGCAAGAGACAGACTTGTAACACTGCAGGCCGCATGGAGGTGTCAGAGGTTGCTGCCTGGCTTCTCTTCACTCTTCCTCCTCCTCTCCCCACCCCACACTCCAACTCATTCCTCCTCCAAGAGTCACCACTGTTCAAAGGTAAAAGGTATCAACCAGAATTAATCCTGAGCCCTCGAAGTAGCCTCTTGCTGGTGACTTTGAATTTGTTTTGTGTCTCTGGCCTCCTGTCCAAGCGAGTCTCTTATCTCAGGGAATCCTCAAAACACTAGCTTGGGTTAACCTTTGATGGTACAACCCAGATCAGTGTAGCTGAAGTGACTTTTCTGAGATCTCTCACTAGCCCCTGCACCCCAGAGGGGGTACCTGTCTCCCTTCAATCTCCCCAGGACCAGCAGAGCACCAGAGTAATAGGCTCGAGCAGGGGAAGACCATGATATGCTGGGGAACCATCTCTAAAATAAAGAAGATAAAGTAAGGATGTAAATGTAGGTCCACGGCATTGGAGGGGGCCTGAACAATGACTGGGCCTGAAGTTCAAGCTTCTAAAGATTCCAGACAAACTTTGGTCTGTGGTGCTCAGGAAACATCCAATGAATGAAGTGGACAGAATTAAAAGAAACGGAACTGAATTCAATTAAATCTCTCTTTCCCAAAGTTACCCCACAAAGCCTGCCCAAGCAGGTCCCTGACCCTGCAAGCCTCCCAGAGGAGAGGAGCCCAGCAAGAGTGAGATGGCTGCCCCACCTTCTCCGCTGCCTGCCATGCACTCCTGCCCACCGGGCGAGAGCTCTCACACTCCACCATGCCTGTGATCGGCCCAAGTGGAGGGGGAGAGACGGCACCTGATGGCTGTCCCTGTAGGACAGTGAGGCCTGAGTCTTTTGACTCCTGCAGCATTTCTGCAGCTGCTGCTGCTGCCATGGCCATGTGCATAGAGCACCAGTCCTGGTGGGCGTGCTGGCTTGAGCTGGACACACAAGAGAAGGGAAGGAGGTGGGCACGCTGCTGTGAGCCTGGCCTGATGCCCATGAGGGGCACTCTGCATACCTTATGGTCACAGGAGTGAAGAGGAGTGACGTGGTGACATTGTCCAGGAAAGCAGAAAGAATGGCAGCAATGAGACACAGCATGATGATCATGGCCCACACTCTTCCCCGGGATAGTTGGTATGCCTGGAACACATACCCACAGAAAGGCACAGCCAGGATCAGCAGGGTCAAAGAATAGATGTGACTTTTCATTAGGGACTGTAAGAACTAGGGGTACAAATAAACTCTACATGGTAGATTAAAACTTAGACTTAAAGATTCCTAAGTCTGCTGAGATGCAGTAGTGATGGCCATACCCAGACATTCTAAATCCACCTTGGCCTACATTCCTTCCCTCTGATCCTCCTTCATAGTGCCCTTTGATGGTTCATTTATCACAAGGTGATGGCCCTCTATCCCTTGGATATCCTCCAGTATTTTACAATCTCCTTTTGGTTAGACAGTCTGTGCTGTGACTTGGGATCCATGTGACTCTAGAGCCTTCTGATCTTTGGGGATCTAAGGAATACTTTTAGTACCAAGGTATTGGGAGGAAGAGGCTAGATATCTACCTGGAAGGTGTAAGATGGTGCACAAAGATAGCAAAAATCATAGCATGGTTCTACCATTCAGAGTTTGCAAAGGGCTTTGTTGAGCAAATCATTTATTTATTTATTTATTTTTGGTGAGGAAAATTGGCCCTGAGCTAACATCTGTTACCAATCTTCTTCCTTTTGCTTGAGGAAGATTGTTCCTGAGGTTAACATCTGTGCCAATCTTCCTCTATCCTGGACATGGGATACTGCCACAGTATGGCTTGGATGAGCAGCACATTGGTCTGCATCTGGGATCCAAACCCATGAACCCCAGGCCGCTGAAGCAGACAAAGCAAACTTAACCACTTTGCCACCAGGCTAGCCCTGAGCAAATAATTTTTTAAAAGAACTTTTCAGTTCTAAAAATATCAAGCACAGCACCAGTCCTTGCATTAGCAGGGCATGGCAAAATCTCCTTTCCCCAACGCTGAGTGATAGGACCAGTGCAAATCCTGGTGGTCAGAACTCGCTGGTGGATCCCCCAGGGTCCCAGTTATAAAAGTGACTGTTTATATGTTCAATATTTAGAAAGTAATCACTGGAATTATTTCACCAAAAAAGCAATCAGAAGCTGATGACTTGAAATATTTAGATATTCTAAAATGTGAAACAGTTTTTGATGTGAAGCTCTCAACCTGCCAATTTAAATAATGTTACACAAACGTTCAGCTCGAGTGCTCTTTTCCTGATCTCCTTCTTCAGTTGTATACTGAAAAGCTGAAAGGGTTGCTCAGAGCCACCTCACTTAGCATGGCAACTGCACCTAGCCTGGCAGCACTGATTTTGAAAAGGAGGATAGAATTTTAAAATATTTGATTTAAATGGTAGTTTTATTCACTAAATACATAATGGTGGAAAATAAATATGTCAATTAATTAATACAAACTATTCAGTGTCACATCAAACCTACCTTTACAGCGCAATAATCAAAAAATCCAGTTTCTGAAAATATGGCTACCAAGATCATCTGTGGGGAATAGAGAAAAAGGAGACAAGAAGAATCTTTTAGCAGAGCACATTCCTGAAATGACATCAGAGTGACCAGTTACAAATCTGAGCTCTGGCCTCAGCAGGAAAGCTACAACGTCATCAAGCTTCTGTTCTCTCATTGAGTGTAGTGCACTTACAAACTCCCTGAATGAACCCTCTTGCTAGCAGTTTTGCGCCTCTATTTTTGTCCAGGGATCTGTGTCCAAGGTACATTATCATTCCATCTAATCTTTACAACATCACATGTTATTATTACTCTCTGCCTCATAGGCCAGCAAACTGGAAGGCAAAGAGGGGAGATGACTTGCTCACAGTCACAAAGCTAGAAGCCGGGAAGGAAATGGGCCAGAATGTGGCCATCCGCACCTAAATGTCCATAGAAGCAAAACTAAACATTTTAAGATTTTAAAACTGGGTTAAACTTTGTTTCCTAACATAACTAAACAGATTTTTGTTACCAATTTGATCAAGACATGCAAATAAGAGCAATTACATTAAAATCATGAATCTCTGGTTATAAACCCAGAAAATGTATTAACTTTGGTTTCTTTCTAATGATGACATTGAGTTGGTGTTAACAACCTTCTGAGATAGTAAGAAAAAGTAATGTCCCATTTATTCCAAATCTAATCAACCAGACATTTCATCCAGCCTGAACTTTCTGGAAGATTCTCTGTTCCACCTCCTAAAATGGCAATGTACCATGTGTTGAACTTGGAATAAGAAGATGCAGTTTCAAATACTGAATCTGCCACTTAGGAATACTTCAATCTTGAACAGAAAATTTTTTTAATCCTCTGCACTTCAGTTGTCATACCTCACCTCTGAATGTTTTGTTCCTTGTAAGGTTGTTGTGAAAATTCAATAAAATTATGTAAATTAAAGTACTTGGAAAATAGTAGGCCCAATATCGTCTTTCCGAGAAACCATACAAAACAAAAATGTCCAAAAGTCAGTTTAGACTCAATACAAATATTTACCTTGTCTAGAATGACCACCAATGTTCATCCTAACCCAGACAGCCACTGTGGGGCACCAACGGAAGCTACACATGAACGCGAAGGGGCAGGCCCTGTGTGAGGAAGCTGTTCCACACGTTGGCTGCCAGAAACATGTAAGAGAGACTGGAACTCAAGGATTGGGGTGAGTGACCCCACACGTGGCTGACTGCCATGAAATAGGGTGGAAAATGCAGGTGCCTGATTATATAGACTCTCTCTGCACCCCCAAAATTCTAGAATCACAGAACCTTGCTGAACTGATTTCAATTGAGAGAAAAAATTAAACCACTTGTTATGGGCTGAATTGTGCCCCTCCCAATTCATATGTTGAAGTCTTAACCCTCAGTACCTCAGAATGTGACTATATTAAGGAGGTAATTGAGTTAAGGTGAGGTCATAGAGTGGGCCCTAATCCAAGCTGACTGGTGTCCTTATAAGAAGAGGAGATCAGAACACAGCCACACACAGAGGGACAACCACGTTACACCACAGGGAGAAGACAGCCATCTACAATGCCAAGGAGAGAAGCCTCAGGAGAAACCAACCCTACCTGTACCTTGATCTCAGACTTCCAGCTTGCAGAACTGTGAGAAAATAAATGTCCATTGTTTAAGCCCCCAAGTCTGTGGTACTTTGTTATGGCAGCCCAAGCTGACTAACATACCATTTATTTAATTTAAAAAAAATTATGAGACATCGGGTATGCCTTTCTTCTTCCTTCCAGATGCCCAAACCCTATGTGCTTTTCAGGACCCAACCCAAATATTAGTTCCTCTATGAAGCCTGGGTTCAGAGCACTGACCCATCTCCCCACACTCCACCCACAGAGGAAGCAGAGCTAGTTTGGGTCACACTGAAGCCTAGAGTAGCAGGACCCTCCATTATGACTGCCAGCCTGAGGAGGGATTAGATGTTAGCAAGGAAAATGAGGCTATATAGTGACTTTTCACAGAGTGGGTCTTCTAGCCCAGAGAGGGAAAGCCCTCTTTCAGACCATTCAGCTGCTGCGGGGTCTGTCCAAGAATGCATGAGCCATTCCCACTGCTGTCCAAGTCCTTGTCGAATTCCACTTATTCTAGTTAAATTAGTTTATGACTCATGTCCCACACTAGCCCACTTGTGTGTCTTAAAGTTCCCTTCCTGTAAGTTGACTTGGTGACACTCTTCACTGCATGCAGCAGAGTGGCCTCTTGACAATGTCTGATAAATCAGCATACACGAATTACTTATGGATAATTTCTTCCTTTATCCTTATAATTAAGGATACTTTTCCAATCACTGAAACTTACATGGTTCATTTATTTAGGATATTCAGTTTTATATTTTAAGGGCAGTAACTCAAGAAATTTGCTAAATTTTCTAAGTGGCAATATTATTTCACCATCAGACAGGCCTTAGACAAATTCTCCAGATCAGAGCACCATTCATCCACAAGAGAAATTAGCTAGACCTGCACTAACACTTCTCAATCAAGCCTTAATTATCAAGCAGCACAGTATCTTTAATATAATGAAGGATTATCAGCAGCAGCAAAAAAGAAGGTCCTGGGTTATGGCAGGCTTGGAGCCCCATCCTCCTGGGAGAACTGTAATTACCATGCCAAACAGCAGGGCCAGGGTCTCAAAATCAATCCACTCCACCACATGGGTCAGACTGGGTCTCTGCAATCAAAGCACAGATTTGCCAATTAATCTTGGGCATCATCCCCCTGGTGATAAGCTGTAAAAATACGCTTCCCTTCACAGCAAACCCACTCACTGGGCCAGAGTCGAAAATCACATCATCTACTTGCCTTTGAAATCAGATTATATCATGACTGAAAAACAGTCATGACCCAAGGCATCGTAATGTCGAGCCTACAAATTTAGTAATAAGAAAAACAAATTTCATAAACTCTGTCCTGGCAACTCTATGAAGAACTGTTGCCTGAATTGCAGGATTGGCCCTTGAGGTCAGTCGTGTCCACATATGTCTTTCTCGGTATCAGCGCATGAGGCCAAAATGATGATAACTGAAGGACATATTTGTCCTACTCTCCATCTGTCCACCCACTCTCAATTCATCTTCTAACCACCGTGAAGAATAGGGAAGGCCAGGGTCATGGGGAATTGGGAGCATGGAGTATAACGTGAGGGCACTGCAAGTCTGGTTGTTAGGAAAGGACTGCACGGTGGCCTAGGTAGCTTCCCACAGCAGGCACCTTCCATGTGTCATGTTAATGATTTTTAAAATGAAATAACTACTACTATACTACTCCTTAATAATTAATAAAGACAACAGTGGCTTATATATAAGTTTTAGGATTCTGGGACATTTTACCTTTAGGGTTGGCATTTGTTTACACCAATTCTAGCCAAGAAAAAGAAGAAAACATAGTAACTAACTGAACACAGCCCCTACGTAGTTTTTTAAACCAGCTATTATTCTTTGGTTGACTGAAATGGTCTCTACTAACAGTTTTCAAAACAACGCATTGAATTCTATAAAGCTGTTTTCAAATCCAGTTCTGTGTGTTGCCACATTGTTCAGTTCCAGCACTGCCTGTCAAATAACTCCAGGCCTCTATCACCAGTGGGGACTTGGCCTCTCTTGCTTTCCTACATTCATTCCTATGTTCCTGCCAGATGGGCCACACTCAGGCCCTGGTGGGATGCTATCACTCACCAAACATGCATCTCCATGGGTCTCCTGATGTCTGCAGGACAGAACTCCAACCTTACTGTCTCCCACCTCTCTGCTCCTTACAGGATGGCCTCCTCCAGTTCCCAAGGGCAGACAGCACCCAGAACCAGCTCTAACACCACTCAGCTACATGGCCCTGGGCAAATGCGTGACCACGATGAGCCTTTTCTCAGTTAAAATGGAGAATAATACCACTGGGATGAATGTGCATGTGTGTGTGTATGTGTGTGTGTGTATATGTGATAAAGTCAAATGAAAAATACTTACCAATGTCATAAAGTTTGTTAGTTCATGCCTCTAGCATGGTCCCTGGGGTGAAATGTGGAAATAGTACATAAAAGAGTGAAGATCACCAGCTAGCACCTAATTCTTGGACTGCCTTTGAGTCTGACATTCTATCAGGTGGTAGTCGATGATCTGAAATATTAGAACTTACATCGCCAATCACAGCCAGCACTGCTAACGCCGCGAGGGAACCCAACATGGCTGCCAGTGTTCTGTGAACGATCTAAAAAGAAATGTAGGAAATTATTGCATTCCAGTCCACGGAGGTTTAAAATGCACAAAAGCCTATGTTGATATAAATATCTGTCAACATCAGCCATTTTATACCATATCTATTAAGACAATAAATAAATCACAGCTCTCGCTGTTTCAGAGTCTGAACACACACAACCACTACCAGTCTCTCTTCTAAAGATAGCTGCTTTCATTTCCTAAATAATTGGATGACCTGAAGTAGAAGCAGAAGGCTGGATAAAGTATGTTCTACAAGGAAGCCTGCAGTAAATTGTCATTAATTATTTACCACATAATCCCTAGGCAACTGGACCATTAGTTCCACAACATAAATCAATTCTGCCCAATTGCTGAGACTGTTATTAAACCAAAGGTACACAGCTGACTGCTTAATATAATTGAGACTTCAGATTAATCACTAAATCACAAAAGTATCTTTTCTATTTAATTATAATTCAAATGGATAGAGAATTTCTAAGACAAAACATGAAGAAAGGCAAGGATGTGGAGAAATTAAAACTCTCAAATATTGCTGGTGGGAATCTAAGATCGTTCAGTCACTGTGGAAAACAGTTTGGCAGTTTCTTAAAAAGTTAAACATAAATTTACCATATGATCCAGCAATTACACTCCTAGGAATATACCCAAAGAAATGAAAACATACATCCTGTTAAATTAATTAAATGAGGCTATCAGACTGAGAGAGCTCTAATGCCTTAGCAGCCTATGTAAGCAAACCCAAACATAAGCCTGTCAATGCCTCAAAGTTAAGGAATTGAAATCTAAGGACAATCAATCACAAACAGCCACCAAAGCTTTCCCAAATAAGGCAGATACTTAAGCTGTAACCAGTCAAATAATTTCCTTGCTTTGCTTCCGCATCTTCTCTGTAAAATTCTTGCCCCAGCTCCTGTGGGTGGTGTACTCCTAAGCACTTCTGTTTTGGTGCTGCCAAATTTGAATCCATTTTTGCTCAAACTCTTAAAAATTAATATGCCTCAGTTTATCTTTTAACAGTCCACATAAAGCATGAATGTTCATAGCAATATTATTCAAAATAGGCAAAAGCTGGAAACATTCCAAATGTCCATCCATGGTGAATAATGGATAAACAAAACGTAGTACATGCTACAACATGGGACCATTGGTATGTGCCATGTACTGGATGAACCCAACATACATTATGCTAAGTGAAGGAAGTCAGACACAAAAGATTGTATACTGTATCATTCCATTTGTATGAACTGTCCAGAAAGGTAAATTTAGAGACAGAAAGAAAATCAGGGCTGCCTAAGGCTGAGGGTAGCAATAGGAATTGATAGCAAATGGGCCCTAGGGACACTTATGGGGTGATGGAATGTCCTAAAACTGTACTGTGGTCATGGTTGCTGCTACGGTCTGAATGTTTGTGTCCTCCTAAAATTCCTATGTTGAAATCCTAACCCCTAAGATGATAGTATTAGGAGGTGGGGCCTTTGGGAGGTAGTTAGGTCATGAAGGTGGAGCCCTCAGGAATGTGATTAGTGCCCTTATACTATACTATATATATATATATATATATATATATATATACACACACACACACACACATTATACTATACTATACTATATATATTATATATATATATAGTGCCCTTATACTATTTTATATATATATATATATATACACACACACACACATACTACACTATACTATATATATATACTATGCCATATATATATAAACAGGTACTAAGTTAGGTCCCTGGACACAGTGGAAAGCCCCTCTGCCCTCAGCACAGAAGGACACTCAGGGTCCCAGGACATGGTAGGGAGCCCCTCTACCCACCATTCAGGACTCCCTAGCTGAGTACCACCCCTGTCCCCTCCCATATAACATGACCCCTGGAGGAGGCCAGAACCTCCAAAATGGGATTCAGGCTGCTTCCTACTCACATAACAGTCAAGGCCCAGTGTCCAGGCAGTGCCAGACAACCGTGGTCAGGGAACAGCCTGGAAACCAAAACCAGCAGTGCCCCTCACAGAGCTCATGACCCACCCGTGGGGGAGCTAAATGCAGCTGCCTCGTATTTCATCTGATGTGTTCCCACTACAGAGTCCCTCAGGCACTGTGTGACCCAAGGAGTAGGTATATTCACAAATGTATAAATTTTTTTAGGAATTGCCCATATAGCGCTCAGTTAATTTTCTGGCCTGGCTTATATTACATAGACTCATAGACCTTAGAGCTGAAAGGCACTCCCAGAAGTCATCTGGTACAGTCTTCAAGTATATAAAACATGTTAACTCTGATCATAGGACTTAAACAAGATCCCACAGTGGTGGATTGTGAACACATGGCTGTGCCCAAGTCGGCCCCATCACCAAGTGAGCCTGTGTTGCCTAGGAAGATGGCTTAGATTTCTCTCCAAAAAGGAAAAATAAGGATAATTATACCTCTGAATTTTCAGTGCTAAGTTCCTAAAGTACAAATTCCTATTGCGTATCGCAAACATTTCTTCTCAGAAACTACAAAGCTTAGCTACAGCAGTAAAACAGAGAACATGTGACTTAACTCTTCCAGCTTCGCAGAATCACAACAGCTGGCCATGTTTCCACAAGCCATTGGAGAGTGAGGATATTACCAAAAACTATATATCCTAAAGGTTGAAATAGAGATTAGAATGAAACACTCTGTTTGAAGCTTCCCAAAACTTCCTTGAGACATTCTTCCAAAATGACTGCTCTCTGGCAATGCATCATCAAACGGACGTTTCTCCCAGCACAGGATGAAAATCCCACATTGGGCATGTCTGTTTCCTTTTTCCAGACTCTGAAAGAAGCCAGGTGCCGCAGGTCGTCTTGGCTGTTCCCACTCCCTCCCCATCCTATTTCTCTGCCTCAAAGGACAGGCAGCGCCCCAGGGTCACTCTGGAATTGAAACACCAACATGGCCCAGCTGCGGTGAGGTCTTCATTGTCCTGCCCTCAGAGATGCACAAACGCCCCCACACTGGAGACTTTTGTTTACAACACACAGCCACCCGCCAAACTGTGAGACTAAGGTAGAAACACGACACACATGCTTGAAAATAAAGTGGGTTTGTTGATTTCCATATGAAATGTCTGTGATGCTCAGAGCTCAAAAGCAATGATGGGACCAACCTCAGGGAGGTGGCAGTGAGGAGGGGCTCCATCATTCCAGCCAACCCCACCCCTCAGGCACGACTCCCTCCTCTTCTGTACACGAGAGACTCTGGGCAGGAGGAAAAGCCAAGAGGGCAGCACCTGGCAGGAGGGAAGTGTGAGAAGAAAGAGCAGACACTCTCCTTGTCAAGTCCACCTGAGCCGATGAGGACAGCACTGTCACCCTGCAAAGCTCTGAAATCACTCCATGCAGGACTTCCACCCTCCCTGGCTGCTCTGGCCCAGGCCCTCAGGACCCAGGCCATCACCCCCACATCCCCCACATTACCCAGCAAACGCATCCCCTTCCATTCCTTTCATCATTTCTTAGGCAAACTGTCCTCTTCAATGAAAGGAGATGGTTCACACGAATGGTCACAGAGAAGGGAACATGGACTTGGAGGGGACTCTGGAACAGTGACAGATGCTGGAAATTCCCTCTGATGGTAGTGTCAATACATGAGAACTGGCAGCATCCAGGGCTTCCCCAAGGCAAGACCCCAGCTCAGCAAGAGTCACGAGGTTCTCTCTAGCTATGAAAGAACCAGACTCAGTGGTCTATGAGGGTAGATCACACCATCCCTTCTGGCAGGGGCCTCTTGGTCCCCAGCAGAGCTGCAGCACATGTAGCCGGCAGGCTTCTGCTCACCATGGTCCCTCCCTCAGAGACCCAGGCTTCCTCACACACATGCCACCACCGAGGCAAGAAGGAGAAGGAGTCGCTCTGCTCACATCCGAAGAGTCAGAGCACAGGGCATGACTATACATAAACTGGAGAACCAGAGTGACTTCACAATGCAGGACAGAGGGATATGGGCTCACCAGCTGCAAAGTGGCTAGAAAATCCTACCCCTAGGAAACAAGGGAGGGTCAAAAGTGACCCACCTGGCAGGCAGTCCAGCAAGTAACAATATCAGAGCAAACACGCACACGCAAGCCCGGCCCAGGCACAGCATGGGAGCTGTTCCCACCCATGGTTGACAGGACATGGCCCAGGAAGGAAGGAGTTGGTCTGGGTCCCACACCAGGACATGGAAAACCAAGGTGGCACCTCCAGGGACAGCCTGTCCATGCCCCATTCATGTTGCCACGTTCATCCTTTACAACAAACCAATGAGTCTTATAGATAAGGAAAATGAAATGCAGAGAACCACTGCAACTTACTCAGAACCACAAAGCCCATATTCATCCCACTACATCATGTTAGAGAAAAGGGACTAGAAAACAGGGCCTTCAACTCCACACAACACATGAGTGCTGAATGCCCACTATGTGCAGGACAGCATGCTATTGAATCAAGACTCAAAACTGTCCTCACCCTCACTGCCATCCCATGCATGTGAGATGCAAACATAGGGAGGTTCTCTGCCAGTGTGGACCAGTGGGTTCACAGTGACCTTTGACCAGCCTGTTCCTGTCATTGTTCCAGGTGCCCTGGGAAGCAACAGGCTCAAGAAAGCACAAGGGCCACCCTCCATGAACAGCTGTTCCCCTGACAGAGCTGTCCCTGCTGCCTACTGCTCCCCCCAAGCTGGGAGACTTGGCTTGAGATGACACAAAGAAAAGGCTCTCAGACTTTCCTTCCCAGCTCATGTGATTTCCACAGAGCCCATGATATACGTGCAGTGGTATGCACCTGCTTGGGGACAGTGTCCATTGGCCACCACACCACACAGGCAGAAATGGGAGCCCTGGGGGGGCCAAGGCCAGGGCTGTGGGAGTCCTACATGTCTGCAGATGCACCTCTATCTACCTTCATATACCCTTCCATTTACCACAGTACCCCAAGGAAGAACATTAGTCAGACATCTCATGTTTTGAGCAT